TTTGTTTGTTTCAAATCATCATAACTTCCAAGTATTTCAACCGATTGCAATTTTCCGAGATGCAGTGTGCAGCAAAATTGCCAAATCGGCCCGATATTAACAGTTATGCAGAAAATATCTACATACAGAATCTGGCTTTTCAAGAAAAATGTGTTCTTAAATACACAAAGACATCAAATCATTGATAACATTTGTCTTTTCGACCTTCAAACTTATCTGACTTTCGGGTTTCTCAACCGATTTCAATATTGCAGAATACGATTCATGACCCCTCTGGATTCGCCCTTGATTTTGTCTTCACTGACTACCCAAAATATTCCCCATTCGGACAAAATTGAACGAAATGATCTTAATAGGCAAACAAATTGGTCAGCCCCAAAATGGACCAAGGCAATTAACTAGAATGTCGATTCTCCATCTGTCCCGTTGAAACGCACTTCCGCCTCCCGTCTCCTCAATAGTGCTGCCCTTATGTTTCAACCCCTCGATGCGAAATTGCTTGGGGCCGAACGGGTGACGAAAGTCTAATGAGGTGTGATGATCGAGTTGGTGCATCCCATTTCAAGTGTGATTTGTGATGTTGCCGAAACCTAAATTCACACTACTTTGCCTTAAAAAGTTCGGTTTCGGTTTTTGGTTTCATCTCCTCTTGTCACTGGAAAGGTTGAATGGAAATGTAGAGGTGGGGGTAAATGTTAACTGGGATATGTTTTCAATTCCCTTCATAATGGGGAACTTGAACATTTGTTTTTATTTCTTTAATATATTTGCCTATACATATATAGACATCGCGCATACCAAATATCAGCCCTCAAATCGCAATAATTAATTTGCAATAAACAATTAAAGTTGTGACCGCAGGCTATTCATTTGAAACGACATTAAACGCGCGGGAATGGTCGTGACGTCATTGCGCTAGTTCGTTCGATCGAAAGGCAATACGGGAATACGGCTTGTCGTTGAATTATCTGGATGTTTGACTGTTCAGAATTTGTGCTGTGCTTGATTAATAATAGAAGCAACACAAAAATAATATTACAAATGCTGTATGGTGCCACTGTGTCCTTGTACAACTTTTAAAACGCCAGACAAGCTATTTATTCGTGTACCACGAGATAAAAGCCGGCGTTTAAAATGATTAAAGGTTTAAGGTATACACAAGGATATTTCTGACAAGACTACAGCCCATGTATGTGAAGATCATTTTAATGTAAGTATAAAAAACAGATTTGAATTTGTCTATTGTATAATGGATAATACTTTGAATTTGTATTTTGTTTGCTTCTCGTCTTCATTATCGTAGTAAATAGTCACCTTAAAAATAGTTAATTGCTGTACTAGACGATGAAACGAAACAATAAGTATCCGGAAAGGAAAAATCTCGTTTTATCGTCGTGCATTTACGTTAAATACCTACTATTTTTGTCATGCAATATGAATATTAACACATATTTTTATGTAACTTTAATATTATTTATTTATTCTAGCTGGAAGAAGATATGGACAACTATGTTAAATTCCTGTTAATGGGAGGTCTGAAAGAAATGAAGGCTAATGTACTTGTAACTTGCACCCATCCTACTGCAGAAAATCCATAAGAATACCTTCGCGATCTGTAAATAACGTTCTTTTCACTTCGTACATATTTTTGTACTTAATATTGTTATTCTTAGTAACTAAGGATATATTTAATCATTAACGGTCTATTTTGCATCAATGCCAAATTACATTTAATTATTTTATTTAATTTTTACTGGCATGAAAACAATACTTTCTTATTTTTTGTTGAATCACTTACATTTTGATCAATCCAGTTTGAATTTTGAAAATTAGAGCCAGTAAAACCCCAGTCGAACATTTTATCGATTTATATAAGTAAAACTATTGACTATTTTGTCTATAAATCTACCTGTTAGCTTTAACGCCGCGAACTTCAGCAAGAGTACAACTTTCGGTGTTTTTAATGTAAGATGCCACCATAAACATGTCCACTAGTGGCAAAATCTCAGATTGTCCTTTTACAAAACCTGCCTCAGTCATTTTGAAAAATTCTCTTTTTCTCCTAATACACTAATAAACGTTTTAACAGCAATATCAAGACTGAGGTTGCATATTTACAGGCCGCCGCTGCCGACGAGCCACTTGACGTCACAACTGGTCCCAGCCAATGACGGCGCGTTACAAGAATGATTTGAATTATACAGTTTTTAATTGCTTATATTAATTACATAGAAATAACAAAATCGTTTTTTGGCCAACTGTGGTGTTTTTAATAGTATTAAGTTACGTTTGCCAGAAATATTTATCACATTTAATTTTTGTGCAAGTTCCTCTTTGTTATCTTAGTCGTCTTAGTCGAATATTTGCTGCTTTTCCTTTAGAAGGTTTTAAATTATTGTTATTCATGTGTGTGGCAATGAAAGTGAAAATGTTCTCGCAAGCCTTGAATTTTCAAGAAGGGGTTTTCAACAGAATATTATAGAATAAGCGCAACTACGTCCACGTACGGGAACAACATTACTAAATTTTCCACGCAATTGTGCTAAATACCGCCCTGTATACGGCATCGGCGTTCTACAAATGTAAAAAAGCGCACATATTCTAATGGAGTTTGACACGTTAATCTCCGATTGAGTGATGGGACATTGTTTAGGCTTTTATCAGATTTATTTTCCTAACACGTCGGACCAAGTTCGGTACGAAAACGTTAAAAACAAGCTTGATTTCGATCGTTTTATTTTTCCAGTCTCGTAATATTTAATGTGTGTTTACAGATTTTTCGCTCGCGGGAATTTGTTGAATATGTAAAATTTAATCTTTTTGGTTCAGAAGCATGGTATTTTTTCGAGGAAGTGTTTTATGCAAATGAAATCAAAGCAATCGTAATCAAATTTTATTTTTGTTGGTTACATGCCGTGAATTATTTAAAAAACTCCAAATTTGTCAAATCCGTTCTCCTAATCGTACGGTATACAATCGGCCAAATTTCATTGAATAGAGAAGTCGAAGATGAAAATAGCGCAAGGCTAACGTTAAAATGTGCGATTGGCGCCTATTGTCCTTTAACATTAGGAAAATTATTTGAAAGTGCTAAAGTCTCTTTTGAATATAGAGATTATTATCCAATAAAGACTCATTGCATAGGCTTTGACAAATTTTTCACGTTTGACACAAAATTCTAATGTACAAATCTGCGATTGAGTCTATTCGAGTTGCTTTCTTTTATCGGAACACCTAATATTGGGCTCCTCAAACCATCTGTTTTCTATAAAATGTTTAAATTTGATGGATTCTTTATAATCCACAGGAAAAACTGCGGAACGGCAACGTTGTCAATATTATATTCGAATTATTTTTAGCGTATAGAGTATAACGGACAGCCAACTGTGATTGGTGTCTATTTCTTCTGATATTTCCGCTCCCTCATTTAATATGCTGCCCTCCTGATAGAAGCAGAATTCGTGTTCTACCGTGTAAGGTTTACTGGTAGGGAGCTACCAAGTCCAAAAAAACAGAAACGCTAACGACAAAAATATCGATTGTTGTCCTCTGTTTTTCATAATTTGATTGTCGATGTGTTTAGTGAAAGTACTAATTCTGCGCCCTTTGATGCCAAAATGTTGCCATCAAGATTATAACTTTAAGCGGTTTCTCTTGAGTTCAATGTAAAAATAGTAGAATGGCAACGTTGAAATATCACGACTGGTGCTTATTTCTTTTTATTTTATATAATATTATTTTCTGCCCTGCTTCTTGCTTTATTATTTTAGAACTTTGTATTTGGCAATAGAGTATATAGAACGGCTAAGTGTGATTGTTGCCTATTTCTCACTACCTCTTTTAATAATATGCGATCCTGATAAAGAAATTCTCCGTCTGAAATCCCATTTTCTGGCGCTATTAATGCCGTTCTTTGCGACTGCTGTCTATTGCTCATGATATTTTTCGCCACCTCTCTGAAGACCCTATCCTGATACAAGTCTGATAGTTTCAAACTAGACACATTTGGTGGGTTTACCGTAAAGTTATTTACCGGTACTGTCGATTTTTGTTCCTGGAATTTCTGTTAATCGTCTTGTTTTGTTTTTGTTTCAATTGTTTCAACGCTCGCACGTATTTGAGATCAGTGGCTATCTCTATTCCCGATTTTTCTTACTGCTACTTTTTTATACTTTCTGCTCTGTTGATGCAATAGGTATTTTCTTCACACTATATAAAAAATCAGGTTAAGGAACGTTATTGCGATTGCCGTCTATTTCTGCTTCTAGTTTTTCGTTCTCGCCACCCCCTTGAATATTCTGCTCTTCTTATACAAAATGTTAGTTTATGATGCAAGTGCACAAAATGGATTTAGCGTTCCATTATTTGCGATTAATATCTATTTCTGATCCTAATTTTTCGTTTTCGCTGTATCCTTGAATATTATGTACGCCTGATATGAATCGGAAGTTCATGGTGCCCCATAAAATGCGTTTATCGTCCCGTTATTTGTGATGGGTGTCTATTTCTGTTCCGAATGTTTCGTTGTCGTCTCGTCTCGCTGCATATTCTTTTCCCTGATCAAAACGAAGTTTTGTCGAACCAGTGAAAATTTTAATGAGACTGTTCGAAAACTCTCTTTATCTCCTGACATACTCGCTACCTCCTTGAACATTCTGCTCCCTGATAGAAATGGACGTTTTGTTAAATCAGTGAAAATATCATTAAAACTGTGCGAAAACTCTAGTTTGCTCCTGATGGCAACATTCTGCTGCCCTGATAGAAATCGAAGATTCGTCAAACGAGTGAAATTTTCAATGAAGCTGTGCGAAAACTCTATATTGCTCCTGATGTTCTCGCTACCTCCTTGAACATTCTGCTGCCCTGATAGAAATCGAAGATTCGTTAAACAAGCGAAATTTCAATTAAACCGTGCAAAAACTCTCTATTGGTCCTGATCAATTGCTGTTTTTTTACTCTCTCGATGGGCGAAAAAGGGGTGAAATAAAATACGTCAATAATTTGTTTTAAACAGTAAAATATTTAATGAAATCGTATACGTCTTGAAGCATACATACAGTTTACATTTAACCTCTAAACCTACTGTACACACATTTGGGATACAAAACAAAACTGTACAACGTATTTATAAAAATATACAAAATTAAAATTTCTTTGTGCTTTATACTTTGTTAGTCAAGTCGGTTTTATTTCACAATAACGAAATAAAGTAGAATGCAGGCCGATTAGGGACGTATCGCAGTTCCCCACCGTATTTTAACAGCTTCTGGACCGGATACATCCCGTCTTGTCTCTATTGCAAACGGACTTGAGGAAGTAAGTTTTTCAATATGATATGTCCCTACACACCCAAAAATATCTTATTTAGACGTTATTTAATAGCTATTTACATCGGTCAATGTACGAGGAACGTCCAAAAAATCCAAGCGTTTTGTGACAACGAGACAGAGTGAGTTTGCTTTGGACTCCTGGCAGCCCACGTACATCGCAATTTAGAGATTAAATAGACAGCTATATAGCGTTATAAGTACAAAAGGATTACAACGTATCTATCTATTAATAATTTATGTATATAAAACATATTTTCTATATGGGAACTATAAGAATATATTAAATAAACATTCTCTTAAGTTGAAGAAATATCACCGACACGCGTACCGCAATCGTACTACAGACATCGGGACTTTTTTGGTATCGACAGCGTTGATGGTCCCCGAATTCATTCTCAAACCGATTTTTTTGAAAACTGCACAACGTAAACCTTAAGTAAATCATACGATACTGAATCGTACCAGAAAAAATCCCATGTCCAGTTAGCAGTGAAGAGTTTGGCTAATCAGTTAGTACGTTTGTCTCACAGTTTCACTCACAACGGAAAACCTTAAATCTAGTTACGTATATGTTCATCACTTTAGAATGACATTGTTTTGTCGATTGGCACAGCGAGGCCTCAAAGGCAGTGCGAGGAGGAAACAGTTCATCTTCTTAGAACGCACTACCTTTTCAACGCTCCCTGTACCAGAACAATTTTCAGGGGCTCCCTATAAATCACCCGTAGTTTACTCTGCTACTGTTTATTTTTCAGGCGTGTTGGAAATAATTTCGTTTAAATAACAGAGAGTTTACGCCAGCCGAGGGTTTTTTTCGGCGTCGACATTCAGATATTCAGGTTTGTAGAGGAGCCGAGTGAAATGGCCAAATCGGCAGCCGAAGTGAAACCCGACCAAAATCCATGCAGCATGAAAGTTGCCACAGTCATAGAGTGTTGATCTTTCACGTTTTCCAACCCGATTTGTATATACAATTCTTTGCAACTTCACCATGATCCGCCTCTACAAGCCTTCACGTCTGAGAAAAGCTGGCGTGGGCTCTTGCTTTATTTACTGTACAAATTACATCTATACTAACATAAGCGACAAAATTTTACAGAGTCTGGTATGTGACATGGATGTCTTAACAATTTCAGTCTAGTTGTTCTGTAACACATGAGTTACTATACAGTGTTAAACGTAAAAAGGAGAAAACGACGATTCTTCATCGCTATTTGCCAAGTCGCAGTCAATCACGTGTACTTAAACGACAACAAGAAAAATGAGTCCAAATTTAAACTGCTAAGCAGGTTGATTTTTTCTGGCTTTCCTGTATTATCAGCGATTATTTTCTTAAGCCGCGCCCAGACGTCTAACCAGAACCTTGTAGTTGCGAACCAACATCGCATTCAGTTATTTGGGCTCCAAACGGAAAACGTAACACATTTTAGATCAGAGCCTCATAAGAAAGTTTAGAGATACGAACAAGCAGACGTCCGAAGAATGTAGACGAACGTGTTCATACGTCTAGACGCGGCTTTATGTGACGTAAAGTTACGCGTTGCGATTTATGAGAAATCAGCCAATTAATTGGAAAGGCATTTTGTCGCCAACTGAATCCTATTTGGAAATCTCCTTTATTCGGCTGTTTTCATTTAAGGCTTATGTCCATCATCCAGGAAAAAAATTTAGATTTTTATGTATGTTTCAACGCGCCTCAGCACACATTGTTTCCTTGAGGATGAAAATGTCCTTACTTTTTTGGGTAACGTGATTCTGCGTGCATGAAATCCTAAGACATAAGTGAGAAAGTACGGCGCTTTACAATCTGAATGAAAATCCGCGTCTAAGAAGTTTTTCTTTTATACTATTATTGAAGACTTTCCTTGTAAAGCTTGGTCCACATCGAACGCGCCACTCCGCGCTCAGTGTTTCAAATCATCTGAATGAAAATCAGCGTCTAAAATGCTTTTTTATGCTACTCATAAAGATTTTCTTGTAAGGCCTGGTCCATACCGAACACGCTAGATTAAGCGTCACATTTAAAGCCTCCTTCAGACCAATCGCGTTGATCATTCATACGCAACCAGAAGAGATTTTCATAGACGTTTTTATGCGGTCTGATTAAGGTTTAGTCAAGTTGTTGACAAAATGAGTCTGTTTTTCCATAAGTGAGAAAGTACGGCGCTTTACAATCTGAATGAAAATCAGCGACTAAGAAGCTTTTGTTTCATACTATTATTGAAGACTTTCCTTGTAAAGCCTGGTCCACATCGAACGCGCCACTCCGCGCTGAGCGTTTCAAACCATCTGAATGAAAATCAGCGTGTAAAATGCTTTTTGATGCTACTCATAAAGATTTTCTTGTAAGGCCTGGTCCATACCGAACCCGCTAGATTAAGCGTCACATTTAAAGCCGCCTTCAGACTAATTGCGCTGATCATTCAAACGCAACCAGAAGAGATTTTCATAGATGTTTTCATGCGGTCTGATTAAGGTTTAGTCAAGTTGTTGCCAAACTCATTTCTGATTAGGCTTCAACGCGCCTCACGACGCTTTGCTTCATCAGTTTTCTCAACTCAAACTACTCTTTACTTTATTAGGCCGAATTTTTACTTTTGCTGGCTTCAAAAGTTTCTTTGCATTTGCCATGAAACGCCGCATCCAGATGTAACAAGCCGAGGCTGATCCGCGGTAAATTTCTGTGATGTTTCGTCAAAAATCGACAGAATACGAATCGTCTGTCGGCGTTTCGACAAAGCATCAAAGAAATTGGCCGCGTATTAGCCTCGACTCAGGCTCAGCTAGTCAGGTCTGGACGCACCCTGAGGTGAACTTAAGTCGAAATGTCTACATGGAGAAAACATTTTGTCGCCAGATCAATTGGTAGTTTGAATTGGTCTTTGAACTGTATTCCTATGCAATTTTTAAGGCCGATTCCCATGTAAGCTTCATGTCCCCTCACAAAGCTGGCGAAAAAATTACCATACATTTCTTATGTAAAGTGAGGCTGCGCATTGAAACTTATTGGGGCAATCGACTGTTTAAGTCGTCACTTTTACCCTGCTTTGATACAGGAAAGCCAAAGTTCCAAAAAACTATGATAACATGAGTATGTGTTGCCACCGCAGAGAGAAAACACAACTATACATAAAATGTCACTGCACCGTTAATAAATAAATATAAAAAAGTCCTGTACACACTCAGAGAAGAGCGATCGGTAGAACAACGGATGGCCACCAACGGAAATTTTAGCTAATCAGCGAGCCGAAAAATGCTGTAGGGAAAATAAAATGCCGAATAACGAAACGTCTTTTGGTTCAGTCCTACCGACTTCGCCCGAATCAAATCTAACTTAAACAAACACAAGTGTCCGCTCGATGGCACTGAAATCGACTAGAGAGCTGTGACGGTGGACTGGCGTCCATACCTGATCACTCAAATGGGCCCGTAATTACTCAACGACTGTCCTGTGGAGGGAGCCGTCGGATGATTGATCACAACAGGAGCGGACCCGTCGCCTACTTGTCATACGTGACTTAAGGGGGGCTGTTTGAGCACGTGATGGTGCAAATGGTGTTGGCTGGCCGAGGCCACACTTCCGGTCGGGCCCAGCAAGGAGGCGCTTCCAGGCCCGGCAATCAAAAACTGAGGTGGCGGGGGCTTGCCTGATCGGTTCTTAATCAGCACTGCATTCGCTCCAGAGAGATCCGGCCGGCCGAACAGCCTCTTCCAAAGCCGCCGCCACGAGTCCAACGTCTTCCCAGACCAGATCCAGACGCCACTAGTGATCCCAACGGCCAAGGCCATGAAGTATTTGAGCATCAATGCGGCGTAGATGGGCTTGACCTTGTTCGAGGTGAAGCACGAGCAGGCCAAGGACTTGAGCCACTCCTTGTGGAAGGCGTTTTCGTATAGATGGCAGCCTATTACGATGGTAGCTGGGACTGTGTAGAGCACGCTGAAGATGCCGATGCGGATCATCAGCTTCTCGAGCTTATCGGCTTTGGAGCCCGCGCCGGCTCCTCCTTGCTTCTTGATCACACTCCGAATCCGGAACAGAGAGACGAAACCGGCCAGCAAGAAGCTCGTGCCAAGTATCAGGTAGACGACCAGAGGCCCCAGCACAAAAGTTTGCAGATTTTCCGTATTCATGTTGCCTACGTAGCAGATTCCTGACACCGGATCACCGTCCACCGCGCCACTTAGGAGAACTCCCAAGGTTTGCAAGGTCGGAATCAGCCAGGCCGCAATGTGGAAGCATTGCGCATAGCTGGCGATCGCTTCGTTGCCCCACTTGAGCCCCGCAGCCAGAAACCAAGTCAGCGACAGAATCACCCACCAAATCGATGACGCCATTCCGAAGAAATACACCAGAAGGAAGACCAACGTGCACAAACTGGGGCCGTTTGAAGTGTAGCGGATAATCGGGCCGTCGCAAGCAACGGCTTCGTGTCCGAAGCCCACTCGCAACAGGTACCCAACTGAGACCAAGAAGTAGCAGGCTGATAGGAAGACGATGGGCCTTTCAGGATACTTGAAGCGTTCGGTTTCGATGAAAAATGTGATAAGTGTCATTAGAGTAGAAGCTGCGCAAAGCCCCGACCATAGACTGATCCAGATCGACGCGAACTCCTTCTCGTCCGTGGTGAAGTAGGTCTCCTTGCAGGGGAATGCACAATTTGGGACGCCTGCGACGTTTCGGTTGAACGGTGCTGGACTCATTTCGGACCCCAGGGAGACTAGAGGCTGTTGGCAATGGCACCTGAAACAAAAACATATCGCTTTAGTATTGGAAGTACACCACTAAATCTTGATATGGAGCATTTGCGCATGAAAGCAAGGGCTTTATCTATCGATATCTGCCGAAGCAAAGAAGGCCCACGGGCTTCAGCGGGGCTTACCGGCCACCGCAAAGAGAGCCCTTGCCGTTGTGACGTGATCATGGACGTCCATCGGCTGCAAGCATAGGGGTTCAAGCTTGCCGTTTAGTTTACGTTTACATCCTTAAGCACGCGCTGTTAAGTTAATAATTCCTTATTACTTAAGGTAATTGATTGTGTAAAAGTCAGTGAATATACATATATAATATTTCAAATACTTCAGTGGAGAAAATTTTTATCTGTTGCAACATTAAAACTATAGCAGGTCGTTGTTGGGTGCCTGGATGCAAATCTAATTATACCGGGAAGAATATACTGCAGCAGTTCATTTCCCTCGTGATGATCCATTAAAGCAGAAATGGCTTCGAAACATTCATAGATTACAATTTTATGCCAACAAAATTTTCTGTAATTTGTATTAAGCAATTTGAAGAAAATTTCATAATACAGACGTTAGGACCAGAAAAGAATGACGGTTCTCAATTGCTAGCAAGAGATCGAATGAGACTCATTGCCAATGCTCTACCATCAATATTTCCAAATATTTTACCAAGCAAATTGCTCCTAAAACAACGGATCCAGAACAACGAGCTACCAAAATGCTGTTTTATTTACAAATATGTTTTTTAGTTTATTTTTTCTAGACACTTTATTTTCTCGGTTAAGATTTATGACACTACATCATTAAATTAATTAAAATTATCTCTTTCTAGAATTTAGAATTAGAAAAATTATCTCTTAAAAGTCTTTAAATTATTTTTTATTAAAAATGTGTTTAGATATGCTCAGTAATAATTAAATGCTGCTAGAATACAAATATTCAAATCTCATGTGTACCTATCACACTAGACCTGCGTAACACTGTGTTGGGTTGCGCTTTTGAGGTGTTGCCGCTCTGTGAATTGGCGAGTTACAACTCATAGTGCCGCACCTCTAATTGCGCTTGTGGCGGAATAATTCTTGAACTCAGAAATTTTTTATTAGTTAAAATTTCGTTGTCTTCCATCATCGCACGGCGACAGTTTAATTTTTTGAATTAAACATTTTTTTGAAAAACAAAATTAATTTGGTTATTAATTTTAGTTTTGCAGTCGTGCATTAATCACTGCAGCTGAATGAAATTCAGACAAAAATAAAGTGAACGTGAATAATTAGTGAACGACCGGCGCTTGGGGCGCTTTTTGTTTAGTTCTGTTGACTCCTCGGTAAGTTGGGTCGTGAAATTTGCATTTGGAAATATTGCAATGCAAACAGGCACTTTTTACAAAAATGTAAAAAATAAATAAACTGAAATCGAACTGCCAGTAAATGATTATATAATCATCTTTATTCTGGAGTTTTTTGTGTAAATGTGTATGAATAGTCAGTTTGCTACCGACAGTGGACGAAATCGGACGATAATCCTTTGTGTCGCGTTAATCGCCTTCTTAGATAGGAAATATAGAATCAATGTGGCCCTAATGGCTAGTGCGGTAGTTTGTGAAAGTGTAGTGAACTCGCGGATTACTGGGTAGAAAATGGAGGATGGGGCGCCAGCGCGGAGAAACCTGGTAAGAATGATCTCTACTCTATAAATCTTCTTCAACTGAGTTTAGGCTTTAACTGAGTTTAGTTTTCCGACAAGCAACTGAAGTTTTATGAATTCTTTATATTTCCCTCTCTTTGCTTTGCTGATTTCAACTAAGTTTGGCTTTGGACAGATTTCCTGATGTATTAAACACATTTTATTCTTTCCTTCCAGGTGGCCCTTAGCAGCTTTCGGTAAGCTTAGCATAACTTTGCCCCTGATTGCCATGCACATGGAGAACTTTTAGTCCCATATTTATCAACTGACTCGAAGGGTGGATTTGGTATCGATTGAGCTATTGGTTTTTTCGTAGTTAATTTTTAAAGTTTGGGAATATTTTGGGCTGTCTTGTATTTTTACATCAAGCTCATCTGAAGCTCCCAAAGAACGGTTTCAGATATGTAAATATGGATTCCAGTTCTATGTTTTTTTATCAAAAAGAGTCAAGGGTTTAAGTTTTGCCTGTTTTGACGTCTGACGCCGCCTTTTTTGGCGTTGCTCAAGAACCATTTCAGCCCCAGAGTTCGTTTTTATGTTTTTTGTATAGAGAATTTGTAATTCGATTCAGTTATAACAACGTGCGTGAGTAAATTTTAATGAATTTGTCACAAAAAATTCACGAAGTTTGATTATCGGACATTTAGGTGCACGATTGCGCCAAAGCTTAATAAAAAAACAGGTCTTCTACAGAATGTCCATCTTTCAATTGTCTACTCTCTGTACTTTGGAAGTTGGAATTTTTTATTGAATGAGATGCAGTTGCGTAAAAGCGTTCATTTTCATATCAACATTTACCAAGCGCACAAAATGCAAGATTTTATGTGATTCGAATGAATTTTTCAGTTTCAAGAAATTTTGACGACATTTCGATCGCACTGTTCTTTACTGAATGCACAACTCTGAACTTATACGCCATAACTGAGAAATTTATTTTCGAAAAACACCCGGCAAAACGTGTCCCGCAATAGTTCTTCCAAATCCTGCGACAAATTTCTAAACGATTTCTACGTTCGAAATTTTGAAGGCATTTATAGCGCATTCCTCTTTACTGAACGCACAACTTTGAACTTGTAGAGTATTTTTCGTTTCTAAGTTTTGCTGAAAATGCTGGACCAAGGCATCCTTAAAAATTGAAAATTTTATACTAGAGACCTTATTCTAATACATAATTGCTGCAAATTTTTCCAAATTCTGCAACACTCAAGAATTCCTTTATAAGAGCTGGATTCAAGAAAACTGCACGATAAATTTCACAATATTATAATACAGAAGATAATCGGCCTGTGTCACTATTAACTAGACTAATACGCCATGCAAAAGCCTTAAGTGTAAGTGATCCAGAAAGAGGAGGATTTTGGACATGGACCAGTTGATGCAGACTGAAGAAGAAACATTTGATCCTGATACTTCCGCCCTTTCCATAACTGAAATTTCATGAACATGAGTAATGATTGATGGCGAATCAGAAAAAACGTTGACAATTGTACCAAATGCTCCACCCATTAAATCGTATGATAAAGACTTAAATGCATTTTCCCTTTTAAAAACATTTGCAGACGATGATTGTATTCCGTTTAAAATATTTGAAGCCTTGAAACACATTTTCCACATTGCATGGCGCAAAGAAGGAGTGACGAAATTAGGGAAGAATGCAAGACAGAGGACGTGGTTAAATAAACACTACCAGGACAGCCTCCCAAGAGGTGGAAGAACAGCGAGTCGTCGGCATCCCAGGAGGAACAAACGAATAGGTAAAACAAGCCTAAAGGCAACGGTTGTTGTAATAAAGAAGAAGAAGCATTTTTGAACAAAAATTGAAAAAAACGCGGAAAACAAGTTTCTATGTTGGAAAATGTTACAAAACAAATGAAAGCAATAAAGAAGCTGAAAAATAAATTTTTCTTTTTATTAAGTACATATCCCATAACCGGACATGTGTTGTGACTGTCCCCTCATCGGAGCTTTCACTGTATTTGTTTATTCCCCAACACCCGCAAAAAAGTCAGGATAAGAGACTAACCGTGAATAGAAAAACACAACGTTGCCTAAAGAGCTGAGGAGAATTGAAAGAAAGACTGAACTGATATTTACCTGCATTCGTTGGGTGCGTTTCCTTTTGTTCTTCCGGTGCCTCCTTGGGGATTTTCGCAGTTTTTTGAACCGGGCTTGCAAGGTTTGAGAGGTTTGCGATTGGTCGGCCTTGGCGTGGATGAAGTGTTGTGGGTGGGCTGATCCATGCACAGGATTTCGCCCCCTTGCTTGGGAAATTGGTCGCATTCCATTCTTTCGGGCCACTCAAACCCGTACTGTGTCATTATCGGTTCGCAACCTTCGCGCGCTCTCCGACACAGATCTCTGCATGGTGGCAACGGTTTGGAGTACTCGGGCAGGCATATCGGCGCGTACATCGAGCAGAGGAAGAACTTGAGGTCTGGCGAACATTTGATTTCCACCAGCGGCCAGAACTGGTGCACTTCCAGACCGGCTTCCTCTTGAGATTCGTGGTTGAGTTCATTGGGCATTCTGGTCATGTTGTAGCCGATGCCCAGACACATGGGGATCGTGATTTCCTCGCATTTACCTTCCGCCTCCAGTGAGGATGATATTACGGAACTGCTAATTGGGTTGGCAAGCATTAACGCTGCCGTTGCTAGTAAGTAGCTCATGGCACCGGCCATGTTGCTTCCAGTTCCTCAGATACGTTTCTAGCTGGCTTGTGGCTGCCGTTCTATGATGCACAGATGCTTCTATATGGCAACGCTCCGGCCCGAAAGCATATTTTTCGGGAAAATATGATCAGGGCGCTGGGCAGTGGGATGCATTGCAATCTGGAATTGGAAAAATCGGATTAGAAACACGCAAAAGCAATTAGCTTGTGTATTGAACGTATAGTGTGAAAAACGAGTATGTAACGCAAATATTTGCCCAATATCTAACAGCGCTCGCAAAAGAATGCCGGCGTTAGTCTGTGATTTAGAAGCTTCATAAAAAATCAACAAGTCGACATAATATTGAAAAAAGTACAAAAAGAGTGGGGGAAATGGCGGAAAATAAGAACTTTAAAAAGACAATTTTGTCAAGAGAAGGGTCCAGTCGTGACAAACCGACACCACCGCAAGTCAAGGCCGGACTGCTCTGACGTCACGGGGGCCATGTCACGAGTCGCTGTGCGAGTGACAGCCGGCCTACTTGTGACATCAGAGCAGTTGGGCCTTGACTTGCGGTGGTGCCGGACGGATTCTATCCACTTCCTGTAAAGCTGCATCCACACGAACGAACATTGTTCTTGCGTCTTGATCTAACGCTCGATTAGACGGAAAACCGAGCTTTTTCCTGCTCTAAACGTTGTCACGAAACTCGGTTCGCAATTATGCTGCGTTAGGGTGTTCGGTTGCACGTCCGCACGCGGCTTAAGGAGAGTTTACGCATGAACTGTATTTGCAAACATCGAAAACGGTTGAGTATCGACAGGAATCTCATTAATAACACGAGGTTTGCAGACGATACGGCAATAATGGCGGATGATATAGAAGTGGTGCAAAACATTTTAGAAAGTATTGACAAAGAGACCAGAAATTAGGACTAGCAATTTGACTGACGTTCTTAGACTATTGGGGGTAGACACTTGGACATTTATGCGTGATGTGTACAGCTCTCACCCGTAAGTGAGATGAGATGGCCTGATGCGACATTGTCAACTATAGAATAGATTACTCCGGATCAGCGGATTCAAGGTAGGAGCATGGTGTAGGGATAAACAAACAAAAGAGTGTGGCGAAGCACTTTGTTAACTTCATACCTGTAAATGAAAGGATGATGCTTCTTCAAGTAAGTACTTGGCCAGTGAACCCTCACATAGTTCAAGTTTATGAGCCTACCAGAGACTACGATCATGAGGAAGTGAAGGCATTTTACGCCCAGATCCACGAACCGATAAAAAAGTAGCCGAAACATGAACTTCTAATAATAAACGGACAAATCGGGCCCTATGGACTCGGAGATAGGAAGGACAGGGGAAAAACTCTCAGTATGTTTACGGACGATCACAGAGCCGTTTGTATACGTGGAAGTCAGAGAAAAAGAGAAAATGGGGAGAACATCATCATAAGAAACCAGATGATTATATTCTGGTAAACCACAGATACAGAAACAGTTGTACAAGTGTGCAAACATTTCCCGGCGCCGATATGCAATCCGATCACAATGTAGTGAAAGGGGATTGTGAAACCAAGCTACAGAGAATACAAACCCGATGCTCTCAAAAAACTCAAATATAAGACCATACGAAATCTAGTAACACAAATTTGCGCACAGATAAACGAAGAGTGTGACAACACGGATCAGAAAATCCAGGCCTTGAAGAAAACCGTGCAAAGTGTCAGGATGGAACTGCTTAAAAGTGATGGTCATCAAAAAAAAATCGAGGATGACAATTATGCAACTTATGGAAGAAACGAGAAAACATAAAAATCATGCCACAAAGTACCAAAAACTCAACAGAATAGCGCAAGGGAAGATCAGGGAAACAAAGCACAAAGAGATGGAGGAGTGTTGTCACGAAATTAAAGAACTGCAAAGTACATTCGATGAATTTTAAGTACACTAAAAAGTAAAGAAAGAACAGGAACAAAAACAAAAACCGTAAGCAAGCTAACGAACGAAAACAGAGAATTGATTCTTGACCGAAAATATTTCAAAGGAACATAGAGAATCTATTCACGACCGAGGGAGAGACTCACCAATCTCTCACGGAGAAACTGGCCCCAAAATACTAGCTGATAAAACTGGGGCCGCTAATACAGTCTTGAATGAAGGAAAGGCTCCAGGGCTAGATGGGATACAATCAGAATTCCTTAAACTCCTTGATGACAAATATGTACAAATGTGAACTGACATTTTCAACGATATTTACTATATGGGAAATATTCCAAAAGAATGTCCTTTTCCCGAATTCATAACCCTACCAAAGAAAGGGAAATCCAAAACACGTGGGGACCATAGATTATTCAGCTTGATGAGCCGCTTGTTGAAGCTGTTTCTTAAGAAAATTCACCGAAGAATTTTCAGAATATGTGAACATGAAGGGAGCTTGCTAGCTTTAGTGATTACGAGAAAGGGTTCGATAAGGTACTGCACGAAAGGATGATGCAAGTTATTGATATTAAAATCATAAGGAACTTGAAGTGGCACCAAAGAGCCATAAGAAAGCTTAATAAACAGAGTGATGTCATTGCTGTATAGCGTGATGTTAGACAGGAATGTGTTCTCTCTATTCTGATCTTCAACTTACAATTACTTACAATACTCGGAGGAAATATTTCCCGAAATTTGAAAAACGGAATCCTGCCGAATAGAGAAAGTATCAATCCCATTCGATTCGCAGACGACACTAGTGTTTGCCGATAGTCTGATTGGCTCGCAAGAGTTAATGAACAGAATAAAGGGTGCTAGTGCACAATATGGTCTAAGAATGAACACAAGAAAAGCAAAGATCATGATAAAAAGTAAGCAGGACATCCGAAAATGTCTATTGTTCAAGAGAGAGTCCAGTGGAGAGAGTGAGAGTGTCCAAATTCACTTATTTGACAACGATAGTTAATATAAGGTTATTAATATTTTTATAATATTTGGTATTTGAAAATATCAAAACTTTGTAAAAGCCTCCATTTGGAACTTAATATCAAAGACAAAATCCCTTGGAATCTCGACGTTTTCTCGGCACTCTTTTACGAAATTGAATCATGGACATTGACAGAGGCGACCGGAGAAAGACTTAAAGTATTCGAAATGTGGGTATACAGAAGAACTGTGAAGATTTCACGGGTGGACAGGGTGTCTAATGAATCGGTACTGGGAAGAATGGAGAAAGGAAGAGAAGTGATAAACATTACAAAAAAAGAAAACCTGAATATCTGGGCCATATTAAGCCAAACGAAAACAAATACCAGCTCCTTAAGGCGATTCTCCAGGGAAAGGTCCATGGCAAGAGAGGACCCGGAAGCCGTAGTAGATCAAGGCTGAAAAACTTGGAACATGGTTTTCCAAAACAACCACTGAATTAGTCGGAGCATCCGTAAACAATCGCCAATATTCGGAACGAGTAGGCACGCGAAGATCAGAAAACTGATGACGATTGTTGAAGTAGCAAAAACTCAAGTAATATTCAAAATGAAAGTACTTCTTCTTAGACGGAATTAATGGAGGGAGAAATTCGTTTTGGCTGAGAAATATCAGAGCTTGAGCTAATCTCTGCAAGAAAAATAATGTTTCATCCTGCAAAAGATGCCAGAAAGCGCTTAAAGACTTATAATTTTCTTTTGACTCAATACTGGCTGATCAATGTTAAAATCGAACAAGAACATCTAAAAGACTTCTAAAAACAAAATCGCAAATGCTTAGGAAGTTGACTTTGAGAAAACGCATAAAATAGTGTATATGAAAAGTAGAGCCACGTAAGAAAGTTTAGAGATACGAACGAGCAAACTTACGCAGAATGTAGACGAACATGTTCATACGACTAGACGCGGATTTACTCTTGGATTAAGCGCAGCTTAATTGGGAACGAATATATGAGAAATCAGCCAAATAATTGAAAAACCATTTTGTCGCCAACTGAATCATATCTGGAAATCGCTTTTAACTGTTCTATTATGCGACTGTTTTCATTTAAGGCTGATCTCCATCAAGCTTCTGCACTCTCCAGGAGAAAAAATTCGTTTTTATGTATGCTACAACGCGCCTCAGAACACATTGTTTCCGTTGAGGATGAATATTTCCTGACATTTTTTGGGCAACGTGATTCTGTGTACGTGAAAGCCTGACATAAGTGAGAAAGTACAGCGCTTTCCAATCTGAATGAAAATCAGCGTCTAAGAAGCTTATCTTTCATACTATTATTGAAGACTTTTCTTGTAAAGCCTGGTCCACATCGAACGCGCCACTACGCGCTGAGCGTTTCAAATCATCTGAATGAAAATCAGCGTCTAAAATGCTTTTACATGCTACTCATAACGATTTTCTTGTAAGGCCTGGTCCATACCGAACACGCTAGATTAATCGTCACATTTAAAACCGCCTTCAGACCAATCGCGCTAACCATTCAAACGCAACCAGAAGAGATTTTCATAGACGTTTTCATGCGGTCTGAAGGTTTAGTCCAGTCCAGTTGTTGACAAAATGACTTTGTTTTTCCGATGTAAACCAGCATGTAGCGTAGGGTAAGTGGAAAAGGGTTCGGAAGAACTAAGAAAGTTTGTTATCGCCAGTTGAAGTTCCGCGCGTTAAAGCTTATATGGAAACCTGTTTTAGTATGTGATCCTTGCGGCTTAAGGCGCATTTCTAAATAGGCTTCAACACGCTTCACGACGCTTTGCTTCATCTACCAAACTACTTTAATTTAGGCCGATTTTTTCTTTAGCTGCAGGCAAAATGTCTCTGCATTTGCAATATAATGCGGCATCCCAACCTAACGAGCAGAGTCTTTCGTGAAAACAACGACAGAAAATTGAACATCAAGTTGCCGCGGATCAGTCTCAGCTCGTCAGGTCTGGACGCACCATAAGGTGGCTTCTCCACTTTTCAAATAATTTAAAAAACAGTTTGCCTCCAGATGGAGTAGCCTGACTCGCATATGGCATTTGCTTTTATTCTAATACAACTTTTATGGACGGGGTTTTAAAAACCCCTGCCAAATGATGCAAAAAGCTGTTGGTGTCTCTATCCCTGCCACATTTTCAGTCCTCGCTCCCTTGTGCCTCCCATACATTATTCCAAGGCGAATAATCGCTTGCCACTCCCGTATATTTAGTGCAAGTAGTTGAGTAGCTGT